TTTCTGGGCGTCTTGTTGGGCTTAGCATCCCCTGTTTTTGATATGCATGGAGGGCTTCTGTGTGATTTCTTGATTAATAATTAGCAAAGCTCTCTCTCTCTAATGATGTTCTCATCGGAGACATCATTTGTTGGCCGATTGATTCTGAACTACTTTTTAACTTTTTTCGTTAAACATTCATGGCGCATCTGTGTGTTCGTCCCATCATAGCTTGGCTAATGGCATCACACTGAGATTGGTTGGCTTGCTAATGTCGATGTCTTTCTATGGGAATTGGGACATATCACGTGCCCCCCTACTAAAACCTTTTTTTTTAATCCCTCCCCACCTTTGGCTACAGCTCTTCCACTCCTATCCTCCTGCAGTCTCGGGTATACCCCCCATGATCCCACCCACGGGCCCTTTCGGTTCACTCCATGGAGCATTCCAGCCGAAGGTAAGAACCTCAGAGTGAAAACATGGGCAACTATCTTAGTGGAGGGCCAGGCTAGGCATGCACGTGGGGTGTATCCATGCTTGTATGCAGTGATGAGTTCACACGGGCATGGGGAGAAGAAACAGACCTTTTTTCTACTCTGTTTAGTTTTAAACTTGGTGTTGCTAGGACCCAGGTAGTCCCAGTTGGGCTAGGTTTTTATATACTCTTCAAAATATGCAGAAAAGGGGGCAGGAGGGATGACAGAGTGGTTTCAGTGATTTTTTTGCTCTTACAAAGGACCTAAGTTCAGTTCCCAGCACCCACATCTGGCAGCTCACAACCTGTAACTCCAGCTCTGGGAGATCCAGTGTCCTCTCCTGGCCTCTGTGAACACTCACACATGCACGGCACACACACACAGCACACACACACACACACACACACACACACACACACACGCGCGCGCGCAGACACGCGCGCGCGCAGACACACATACACCTACACATAAATAAAACCAACTGTTGAAAAATATGCAGAATATATACATCATAGACATATATATTTTTTCTCCCCAAATGCTGAATGTTTCTTTTTTCTAACAAGTTTTCACCTTAACATGTATTAACTATAAGCAATAATGGGTTTCATCATGACATTTCTATACATGTAAGGTATATATATCTATATATAATATACTTTGGCATATTTACCTCTTGCCCTCCTCTCACTCCCACCAGTGAATCTCCTCTCCTCTTGTGTCTTTTCCCCTGTAAAATCCATTGGTTTTAACTAAGGTCACAAGGAACATGAGCAAGGATCTATTTGAAGGAACAGT